CGATCTGAATAATCTGTCTGCCATTTTCAAAAAACGATTGTCTTTTTCAAAAACCGATGTCTACATCGGACACTATGTAGACAATCGGTCTATCTAATAGTTTGCCCTTATGAGTAGCGCCTTTCCTAAATATCACGATCTTCGGTTTTGAAAAATGGCAGACAGTATTAACAGGATCGTCTTTTAACATTGTTATCACGTTGGTTTGATAAAGGCCAGTGGCCGAAAGCTCACCGTTTTTTAAAAATATTTCGGCTTTTACATTTTTGATTGTCGAGGAAAAGGTCAACTTCTTTTATTTATCTAATTATAACCCTAGGGTACCCCTAAATCTAGTTTCTCATCGGTTTTAGGCATTATTTCTCAGACCTTGGCCTTTCAACGAAAAAAAAAGAAGAAATATTTGCAAAAAAAGTGAGGTATTCCGTCTCAGCTGAGTGAAGAAAACTAACCGTTTGGCAGCCTGGAATAAAGGTTTTAAGCTGCCAAATGAGTTGCCGAGTCAGTAAAATAGGTAGATTTTTCACTCACATGCTTTCTTCCTTTGTGACTCACAACCCCTAATTTGGGGAGGACAAGCTGCCCCAACGGTTCCTGGCCTCATGAAAAGTTGTGAAGCACCGCCCCCACGGCCCCAGAGTTGTGAGGGCAAGCTTCCCCCACTGCCCTCTCCCCCGGTTCCCGCGCCTATGTATGAATCTATGAAATTGTGTTGGTAGATTTTCGATTTCGATTCCTCCAGCTGGGGGGGCTCAAATACATTACGAGCCCCCCCAGCCGAAAAGTTGGAGGGGCTCAGCCCCCCCTAGCCCCCCCGGTTCCCGCGCCACTGCTTATTTCTATGCTAAGATGGCTCTAGCGTATCCGGCAAATAAAATGGGCATAGGTATAAATACGCATAAAAAAATAAGTTAACATAGACTTGGGTATAACCACGGATCACATACTGCCCGGGCCTATAAGGTGTCACATAAGGTGATCCGTGGTATAACTAATGGTCAGAAGAGGGCAAGCAGCGCGCTTGGGATGAGGCGTTCTCTAAGACGTCTCAGCAGCGTCTGCTGGATGGGGCAAACCAGGTGGTCCGGGTGCGTCTTCTTGCTGCCGCAGAGCCCCACACCGCCGCCTGGGTGCAAGCCCTCCCAGTCACCAGTCTGGGACTCCACCTGGAGGACGAAACCGTCCGGGTAGCAGTGGCGCTGCGACTCGGGGCACCGGTATGTGACCGCACAACTGCCAGCTCTGCCGTCGTCCTGCTGATCGACTGGGCCACCACGGTCTCTCCTGTGCCAAGAGTGCTGGCCGCCACGCACGTCACGCCAACCTTAATGACGTGCTGCGGCGGGCACTCAGCAGCACAGGGCTCGAGTGTTTTAGAGCCCACCGGCCTTGACAGAGGTGACGGCCGACGTCCCGATGGGATAACGCTCTCCCCTTTCAGCCGAGGAATGAGCCTGATATGGGACGCCACCTGCTGCGACACCTTCTCTGCAACTGCTGTCATCAGCTCTGCCTTGAGTCCTGGTAGCGCCGCTAGATGTGTGAAGAAATAGACATCTGACAATTGGCTGACTTCCCTGCCTCCCGGCCGCTACTCAGGTCCACCACTCGCCGTTGTCAGTGCACGGTTTTTCTAGCAAGCTCCAGCCTAGTATTGATCTTATTCAGTATTTACGGTACGAAGATTTGATAACGGAATGTGACGTTTCCACATCATGCTTGATGGTTGAAGTTTGCAACGTTAACAACTACCAAGTCAAGTCGCCGCCCCAGTCATCTGGCACGTCTCTGTCATCGAATAAAGCCAATGAACAAGAAAGTTATTATTTTCCAGCATAAATGAAAATATATAACACTGCTACAGGCGGTACGCGGATGTCATGCACTACACACAACGATTCAATCGAATAAAAACTGGATTAACCATAAATAATAACAGTACAGCACTGGATTAACCATAAATAATAACAGTACAGCACCAAACACTTGAGATGCACATTATAGTACTTTAGAATTTAGATGCACAGAGGAGTAATGAGACTAAAAGTTTTAGCACGCCCTATCTTAAAGGAAAAGGGCCACCTTCGTGAAATATGAAGATATCGTTGTTTTTCATTTTGACATTATTATTTTTCATTTTCTTTTTAAAACTGGTGCCAGAAGTGCACAATTTGCGAAAAAGTATTTAAAACTATTTAACATATTGGTACTATGTTGATACTCTCTACGGCACCTACTGTATGATGGCATAGCGATGACGTCACACTCAAACCAATCAGCGTTCAGAAGACAGACTCGTCGGATTGTGTCAGATAAGCTGATTGGTTAAAGCTGAGCTGGTTGGAGCTGATTGGTAAAAAACCAAAGCCTCGCCGCGGGTGGCTGTATTGTCGGATAAGAACGCATTCCTGGGATAAGAACGCATTCCTGGCGTATTTTCTTTTAAAATTGCCGATAACTACGAATGGAGGCCGAAATCGGCCGTAAGGAGGTAGACAAATAGGTTTTCGGACACGGGCTACAAGATGGCTATCTCAGTTTCAATCCCCATGTTAAAGGTGGCCCTTTTCCTTTAAAAATATTGAACGAGATATTTCCACAGTGCAAAAACAAAACCGAAATCCGACATAAAACCGATTCCAGGTTCAATGTCCACAGATTTAAAAACAAAACTTTCAAGTGCCCCCATGGTAAAAAAAATGACCAAAGACGGAATTGTAACAAAGAATAAATAAAGATATGTGCGGCAAACGAAGAGCGGCACTGGACGAGCGTCTGCCCAAAGTAGGCGCCCAGAGTTACTCCTTAGCCCAGCGGGCAGCAGCAAATGAATTACAGCCAAAGGAAGAATATGCATTAGTCTATTAAGGCTCATCGCACCATGACGAGGCACAGCTCGGATAACGCGATTCGCCTGCGTCCTCCAGGCGAGAAGCACCTCGAGTAGGCTGCCGTGTCTTGACCAACTGCCGCATCCGTCGTCCGCGCCGCAGGCCTCCCAGCGGCGCATCGGCCGTCGACCGGCGTGGGGCCCGGATGTGACTAGTGCAGCTCCGTGGGGTGCCCTGCCGCGCTCTGCCGAGTGTGCAGAGAGCAGGTAGACTGGTGGCGGTGAAGAAAACAAGCTGTTATCTTCTTTCGGGATCTGTAAAGAAGCATTCCACTAAAAACTACATCCAAAACGTTTTCATATTTTTTTACAGAACACAATGCAGTAGCCAAAATAGATATGAAGTATGTGAAGACAACAGTCTACTGCCATTAGATAACTGATCCTGATGGACAAATACTTTAGATACTAGTATATCATAAGGTGGTTCAAAGGCCGGTGCCGTTTTCTTCCAGGGGAGGCGCCCCGGCCGCCGTGCTGGGGCGTAACGCAGTCCGTGCTTTTAGCACAGCAAAATATCCACCCAGGCTAGATTAAAGTCACGACAACCTAGGATTAAGAGTGGCTACAGACTTCAGACTTTATGCAGACTTAACATTGAGGTATTATATGTGCAACTAAATGACACACATGGTGTTTGTTCTAACCTTCTCAACAGAAAGTGGACGTGTCAGGACAGCACCCCTTGGTGACCATTATACTCAAGGGGTGTAGGAACTGATTCCCCAGGGGTGAAGCGATAGAAGCAAAAACATGAGTCACTGGATCCCTCCTGTGTCTTCCCTCCAGCAGGAAAAAATATATGCGTGATGCCCAATGTGACTAATAACTGCATATCATAAAGCTGGAAATATTGTACAAAGTTGTGACAACACAAGCAAACTATGCATGTCACTGCTCTTGTTATTGCTATATGAGACCCCACAAGACACAAAAATATGTCGCTGCAATGTGAGCTATTCTTATAGGGTTATTGTAGTTGTCCAGTGACCAAGGCCAAACAATATTGGCCGAAATATTTGGACTTGCATACACAATACAATCCCAGTGAATTCCAGTGAATTCATTCTACATTTTCACTACATCAAAAGTGAATGAAATTAAGTGATAATCAAAGACTCTGGAAAAGAAGATCAGCATAACTACATATGTCTTGTTTCCAAAGCTAAAGTATGATCCTCAATGTTGCAAAAGTTGCTTGGCTTTTACAATAATGAACAATACAATAACTTTGAATAAAAAACAACATATGGTAAAGTGAAAACACTTATCCAGCACTAAGCAGATTATTTCTAAGCTCGTTTAAGTCCCAATTTCTGCTATATTTCGCTTGGAGTCACTTCATAGTTTGAACTCAAGGTGCCTTGTGGATTTACCTCAGGTATGTAGGTAAATCCACAAGGATTTATGGGCTTTACCTCAGTTATGTAGCTGCTCCCTCAATTTAAGTTTCTCGTTAAATTTCATTGAGGCGTTGCAAGATGGGCTGTAGCCGAATTCTCTTCCCTGTTTAGCTGATGCTGATAATACCTGAACATTTCTAATTCCAATTTTTATAGCTGTTAACAATTGCTAAAGGCTCATGTACCTAGACAATAATGACTTTACAGAGGAAACCCCTGGCTGTGTTTCATGGGCGCGCTGCCAGCAGCTGCCAGCACATTCCGTGGAGCTAGCGTCAACCTCTGGTAGTGTTGGAGGCATAGGCTTGTTGATGTCTATGGAAGCCAAAAGTGGCTGGCAGAGTGCCGCGTTAAACCACCCTTATTTTTTGCACAATAATGGTGTGATAACTGTTCCTGCAAAAAAATATAAGGTGAAGTGAAGTAAAATCAGGTCAAACATTTATATATACCCAAAAGTAGCAGTGTATGGAGTACCTATATTCACATTACCATTCCAATAATATGATGCACAACAGGCCATAGAAAAACCAGTGAATGTTGAATTGTACCCCAATTTCAATATAAATATGGCACTTGGCAATAACAGTTAAACACACCGCTTTTTATGTTAAATCAACAGAGAAAACTCCTGAACATAAAAAATGATCAGAATGTATAAGGATAATAGCATAAATAAAAATCGACGACATCAGCGCCTATCATCGCCCTTGCGCATTCACCACTCCCCATTCCACGCACAGATTGTTTACCCCTTGGTTTACCCCGTGTTCGCAGTCTCCCTGACGACGGAGATTCTATACGCCCACCGACCAATCACGTTCAAGATCAGCGGGGCTTGGCCGCAGTTCTCGAACGCCATTGGCCAGATTAAGCAGGACCTTCGTCGTCAGGAAAACTGTGAACACGGCGTTACATATTTCGCTATGGTAACAAAAGCGCCAGAATTGACTACCAGAATCGGATCCGAAGGTCAAATGGGTCACGTGACTGACAAGTTCAGATGGACAACACCTGGAAAACGGCACAACGTGCAATAACGTTCTATATATCATTGGAAAGAGCATCAAAAGTTGTATAACCTATCAACTTTTCACTTAAATATATCTATAACGCAAAATGTTATAAAGCAGCAAAGACGCTCCCATTGACTTTGCATGTTAAAAAAATTCTTCTTTAAACGAGCTCAAAAAGAACAAACGAATTCTGACAGCTTAACGAAGCATAACAACATATTCTATGGTCTTTTCTCAACAAGTCCTGAAAGTTTAAACAAAATCGTATCATATAATTTTGTACAATGAGCGAATGAAAATGCCTCTGCAAAAACGTCCATTGACTTAACATGGGGAGCGAAAAAAGTTCAACTTCAAACTCGTGCAACTCAAGTTAACGAATTCTGACGGGTATACGGCGCACACTGGCGTGTACCAGAACGTGTTTGCCATAAAATGCTGGGAAGAAAACCACCTCCTTCTTGGCTCGTTTTCCCGCCATTGGCGATCGCGCAAAAAGTGTCCAAAACCCCGTTGACTTAACATGGGGAAAATGCAATTGCACGTGGCACGCGCAATGATTTTTGTTGCGAGTAGCGACCGGTACCATCAGGTAGATCACCTGCAAAAGTCTATACCCTGAAATTTTTACGATCCTAAACGCAAAACTCTAGGCTGCGACCAAGTTGCCCCAATCTCAGGCCAACTTTGCAAACATAGCCCGGAGAACGACCGCTCCGGTTGTTTTTCAATAGAAAAACACAATTCTAACGAATAGTGTTTGTCTTTTCAAACAACCTGCGGTTACATTAGCACACATGGACTCTCTCTCGACCTTCCGACTCTCCTGGGCGACACTCATCCGGATATCCACGACCTTCTGTTCGTCTTTCTCGCCGACGCTCGGATCATCAAGAGCCTTTAGCGTGTTAGGGCCGCGGCTGCCGCCCCTAAAACGCTAACCAGAGCCCTCGTCTCCCGGCTCACCCCCAAACGCACACACTAATTAATCGCGGTTACAGGGCTTTTTCCCTCGCGCCGTTTTGGCTTAGGTGCGAGGTTTTTGCCCTTTGCGTTAGGCTTCGGTTTTTTTTTATTATTTAGGACTTTTTCGCCCGACTATTACACCCCACAACAAGGCCCCGCCGGGGGGCTGGAGCCTAGAAGGTCTTATACCTTCTGTCAGTGCGATGAAAGCTTCCCGGCTCCATTACACTGACACCAGCTCACAAGTGTTCATGTCTATTATGTATTGTTAATAAAAGTCATTCCCACTGTTGTGTTTGCGACTCCAGACATCTCGGCTCTTTGGCTATACACGTAAGTACCTCCCTTAGCTTTGATTCCACATTAAGATAGGATCCCACGTTGTTTTTGCTACCGGGTTCACATAAACCGGTTTAACGTAAGACTTGCTGTCCGGCGAAAATTGCCGGAGTAACTGCCCCCTGCTCCACTGAGAAAACAGTGTCCCGATTTTCGGGCTCAGAGACCAGTTTTCGGGCTAATGTACCATATTCAAAACAGACAGCACATTTCGAGAATACTTTCTGAGCTAGCGCCACATGGGCTCATACGATCCCTTAAATCGGTATCATTGATCGCAGAAACAGAGCTCAGTCAGTACCCATTATCGGTGTCAAGCTCTAAAACTAGTCTCACTATGATACCAGTTTTCAGCCTGATCCCCATTTTCGAGCTCACCTGATTCCAGTTTGAGGGCTCAAATTGTGTGGTGAAGCCAATATTAGGGCTCACGTCATCGCTTTTCGGGGCTTTGGTAAAAGCTGGATTGCGTCAGCTGGCTGGCCAGCTGGCGACGCACGAAAGGTATTTAATTTTAGATATACCTAAGCGCGGTAGTAGGATGGACATAAATATTTCAAATGGCTTTAAATGAAAAATTGATTGGTAAATATTCATTCTTTTATATCTAGCATTGATATGTAAGAAGCTCTGCTAGCGCCACCATACGGCGCCAGCTGGCAAAAAATCCAGTTAATACCAGAGCCCGCTTTTCGTCCGATGCAGCCCCTCCTCCCCCCTCCCCCGTGTCCAGCAGCTGCGAATAAGACGAAGCCGCGGACAAACTTTTTTTTGCTCGGCCAGCCTAGCGCCAGTCTCGAGCGGTGGGACAGTTAACCGGCAATTTTGGCCGGGATGCAAAAGTTACGTTAAACCGGTTTATGTTAACCCGGGAGCAAATAACAACGTGGGAGCCTATCTTAGGTGTGGCAAAGCTAACGGATTACTTACTTGTTGCCGAGGTGCCCAAAGAAGGTACTGGAACCGAAAACACAACATTGGTTCATGTACCTATTTATTAACATTCATACACACAGTCATACTTGTGCAAGGTGTCAGTGTTCGGTTGTGGGGTGTAATAGCCAGGGAAAAAGTTCTATGAACTGAAAAACCCGGCGCCTATTACTTCGCAACATGGTTGTGTATTCAACATGAACTGCAAGGAGTGCAGACGACATTGCCTGTGCTAACTTAACGTCTCACGGGCAGCGCCGCGCTCTGACACCTTGGTCCCAGAAGCGGCGGCGTTTCTGACCGCAAATCGCCGGAGAGCCGGTCGACGCCGTTGAGGGGACTGAGCAGGCCGCTGCCAGCTCCACCTTCACGTCCGCGCGGCGCAGCTCGGTGTGCGGCGGCGGCTCATCGCGCGGGCCGCACCCGTCCGTCCGCTGCACGAGTCGCTTTTCGATCCGACAGCGCAACACCGGCACGCCACTGTGCTGGCTGAGCGGCGGCAGCGGCACGTAGGCAACAAAACAGTAGAAATCGATGGGCCTGGATCGGCGTTGCCAGCAACGCCGGCAGCGGCGCGGCGGGAGGCGCCAGTGCCGCCGTCGGGGACGTGTGCCCTTCGCTGCGCTCATTCGAGTTGGCCGGCCGGCCGCGCGGCGTAGTCCTTTTGACACGGTGCGAGAAGAGCCGGATGAAGGTGGACTTTTTATTGGCGTTGCTGGTGCTCACGCCGCCGGCGTCCAGTTTTGGCGGCAAGTCCGAGTACCAGGAGTCGGACAAGTCCCGCGCGAACGCCGCCAGCCGGTCGTCGTCACTGCTGGCGGCGGCCCGCCGACGGCGCTGCCTCAGAATCGGACGAGTCGGTGGTACTGAGCACCTCGCGGGACGGGTAGCTGGGAGTGGGCCGGCCGCGGCCCCTGCCAGGCCGCGCCACCTTCACCGGCGCAGCCGCCTTCAAACTGCCCTTGCTGGGCGGCGGGTTGGTCGGCGGAGGCGGCAGCGGTGCCTCGACGTCAGTCCGAGTCGCTGTCACTGGGCGGCCGCCGCGGAGACGGCTTCTGTTTGACCCGCAGCCGGCCTGGGCCGGCTCGGCGCCCTCGGCCGGCGGCGCGCGCCGTTTCGAGCGTTTCACCTTTTTACTGTTACTCTCGCCTGGTCCTCAGCGTCGAGCGGCTCGGCGCTGTTCGGTTTCATGTGGCCCATGCTGCTGGGAAACTCGGGTGGGGACAGCTTTCTGACTGGAGTGCCGTCGAAGATGGAGGAGACGGGGGTGCTCGCAGAGTCCTTGCCCAATGCCCATGATAGAGCCGAGGCTCCACTGGACGCCCAGCTTAATCGGGCTATCGCCGCCCTCCTTCTATGGTGGATTCTTCGGCCCCCTACAGCCACTAGGGCCATCATATACTCCCAGATGGCGGCACCTAGGGGATGAGGGGGGGGGGGGTGTCTGGGCCACTTGTCCACCTCGTGGCGTCGCCAGCGACGCCTGCGAGTCGGAGCAAATGATTATGGGATCTTCCTCGAAGGACGGGTGCTTCAGGAGATGTTGCTTTGCCGTTTTGGGCGCCACCATCTCAGATCGGTAAATGGAGCAAATCCTCCCCGCCGCCTCCCGCAGTACCAATGTTGTACTGTCTGGGTGCTCGGTGAGGACCCCAGCGCCGCCTTCCTATTACTCCCCCGGTCGCAGACCCGTCGACCCAGGCCCACGTCGCACGCTGGGGGAGCGCTCCCAGTCACGCCTCCGCAGCACTCCTCCTCGCTGTCGCGGACGCCCCGATCGGCAGCAGGTCCAGGTGGACCGTGACGCCGTCTGTTGGCGTCTACGGGGGCAGTCTCGTGGATAAGCGCGCCTCGGCGGGCAGCGCCACTCCAGTGGTCCCACACCGCTCCCCCGCGCTCTCTCCAGCCGGTCACTGACTTCAGTCACGGTTGGGGGGGGGGGCTTCCGCCACGACGCGGCGGGTCCTCCGACGGGAGGGAGAGCGCCTTCGCCAGTAGGCGCGATGCCAGCGCATCCCTCCTCATCTCTCCATCGGCACGACGCCCGCCTCGGCCCTCACGGCGAGTCTTGGAGCATGGAAATCGGGCAGCCAGTGATGACTCATGCCACCATCAGCATCTCCGCCTCCAGGACGCCAAGATGTGTGGCCGCAGCCGCAGGCAGCCACGCCGACCCCGCTGCCCGCATGCCCAAGTAGTCTCGAATCGCTGACACCTCTCCTGAAACAAGAGTGGTGTCGTAAACTTAAACCCCTTGCTGGAGCCCGCCAGCCGCGACAACACCGCCACACCAATTTTTGTGACCCCGGAACTTCCGTCCCGAGCCTTATTTCACGGCACGATGCTACAGTGCGCTACACGTATTGTGGTATTCAGCTTCCATGGAAACATCAACTAATTTGGACGCTCAAACATGGGAGTCAGGAGTGGTTAAGGCCCAGAGCGTTCTGTCTGGTTTATAAAACCTTGGCCAGCAGATGTAAACGTGCTTTTTTATAAGTGGCTTAATTTTGACGCAAAAGGGCACTAACCTTCGGCGCAAATAATGCAGAAATTTCAGCGCAAATTGCAAAATAGCTTGCGCCG